GGGGGGTGGGGTGGGGGGGGAGTGCACTGTATTTTTGTAAAATAAATTGAATAGTTTAATTCTGGTCTTTTTTGTAGTGAAGTAAATAATAATGTTTACGTGTATGAAGTTTCTACTATAAACTAATGAAAGTTTTAGTTCAAAGGTTAATATATGTGTCTTTGTTCTTATTTTGCTAAGAGTTTCCAGAAGCACTAATGTAAAGTTGTTGTTTTTTAACTATTATTTCTATTTATTCCTTTTCTGAATTAATTGCACCAAGTACATATTTGTGAATTTTTGTTGTAAATGCAAACTAGAAAAAATCACGTATAGCTTAAATTTAATTTGTTTCAATAGCTTAAAACACCGTATCTGCACTAGTATCAAGTATCGATATGGACCTAGGCCGATATAATTGGGTAATCACTGGTTATCAGTATCGGCCATAAAACCTTAATCGGTGCTTGTTTGTTTGTTTGTTTTGGAATTTCGCGCAAAGCTACACAAGGGCTATCTGCGCTAGCCGTCCTTAATTTAGCAGTGTAAGACTAGAGGGAAGGCAGCGAGTCATCACCACCCACCGCCAACTCTTGGGCTACTCTTTTACCAACGAATAGTGGGATTGACCGTCACATTATAACGCCCCTACGGCTGAAAGGGCGAGCATGTTTGGTGGGATGCGGATTCGAACCCTTAATCGGTGCACCCCTAGTTCTAATAACCAAGAAAAAATGACATAACTACCTTTATTTTCTTAGCATTTTTTTTTAATTCCTCAGTTTTTATCACTTTTTCATGTGAGTGTAAAGTGTAAATATGTTTACCCTCCTATTTTATTTCGTTCTTGTGCTACCTATAACTTTGTCCTTCCCCTCCTCGTTCCCTGCTAGTTTCAACACACACACATAACCTTCACTCACATAAGCTATTAGAATTACTAAAAGTTTTCTCATGTCGACGATGAAGATGCTTGATGAAATCCTGGAACGAGAATTGCTGGTTCAAAGGTTCTGAAATTGTTGTTAACAATAGATAAATAATATTGTGTTATTGCTCTTTTCTCTAATTCTGGGTTGCAAATTGCATAAATAAAATTTAAAATAGTTACAATTCACTTACTTAATCTAGTTCACACTGTATATTTTTTGTTCTAGCAGAGTTCACACCATATAGTTGTTGTTCTAGCAGCTAATGATGTAAAAAAGCGCCTCGAACACCTTATAATTGTCGTATTTCAGCCGGCCTGACGAGCCCTGCTAATGGGGCAAAGGCTTTGTCGGCATTGGATATGGCAGACATAGTGTGGTTGACATATTATTATATATTTTTCTTTCCTTTCACCCATAAGTTGTTATAATTTCTATAAGGCCTCCACTAATCGTAAAGTTGCTTGTATGAACCTGTATAATAGTGTATGATCTTCATACCACGTTTTCTGTTTTATATATCCATTTTGGGTGGCTGCGCTCATTTTGTAACAATCCGTTCTGTTTTTACAGAACAGAATGATTACAGTGAACTTGTGAAGATTGAACGCTTTTAAAGTATATACATATAACCTAACTTTACATCATCCTAAAAAATGTCACCTATTTATGTCCCCTATATATTTTTAATCAAAAGACAAGCGCAATGTTAAAGTGCTACTGACCTGTGATAAATAAATAACCATTTTATTTTAAATGATCGTTTCAGGGAAGGTTTTCAATGCAAATGTAAAATATAATCAGATTCTTCACTTAATTTCGCTATTCTTATGACGCACATTTTTAGTGATTTATAAAATATATAGGTCGCACAAGAAAAGGAGGATATCTAACCTATCTGGATCCTCAAAGGATTGACTCTGGTCTTCGATGTACTCTAGTGTAGAACGAGAATCTCCAGAATGCTCGTCTTGCACGTCTGGATAATTTTCTGGGAACACTTCCTTTAATGAAGGCTGACTCTGTGATCTCACACTGACAGCAGGCGGATGCTCCTGGTGAGCCATGATTAGATCGGTTTCTTCAGGATGCATTGTATCCAAAAACACAGTGGTATCTTTCTCTGGAACCTGTGCTTGTTGGCTTACGGAAAATTCTTGGGTGGACTATTTTTATATTATACACATAACATGACCAGTTTAGCAATATTAATACAAAACATTTAATTCAAGTCATGAGATTCGAACAAAAATATTCATAGATATATTTAAAATATTTAAAGTTATTATTCAACGGAGTTCTTATTACACACAAATCTACACAAAAGACTATCTGTGCTCTGCCCACCACGAGTATCGAAACCAGGTTTGTAGCAATATAAGTCCGCAGGCATACCACTGTGCCACTATGGGACTCAACGGAGTTATTTATGACTTAAGAAAAGGATGATTAACAAACTTGTTATATATTTTATACATGATCTAAACATGGTTGAACATTAACCACAAATGACGCATCGGCATTATAAAGTGCTGAATTATATATATATATATAATCATGCTTTGTTTGTTCATCGAAGCGACACCTTGGGTGAAAGGTGAGGTCAGAGACTCCTATTTTTCCTTAATTATGAGCTGAGGGCCAGAAGTGAGACAATCTACCAGCCGGCAACACACGATGCATGAAACAGCAAACTCTTTAACCAAAAAGATAGCTTGTCTGTCACTCTTATAACACAGCCACAATTGAAAATGCTAATCTTAGTGGTAGCACCATGTCTTAAACCCGAAACCTTCAGATTTCCAATTCAATGAGGTAATAACTAGTGGCCTTGTTCAGATAAAGAAAAAAAAACAACTTGTGAAAACATGGATAAATTAGAGCTACCAAACATTAAAAAACATACGAATATGTAAAAAAAAGATCAAAGTAATTACTTTTTCAACGCACTTGCAATATCCCCCTTTTGCACTGATTCACTTTCAGCCGTGGGGGCGTCATAACATGACAGTTAATCCCACTATTCATTGGTAAAAGAGTAGCACAAAATTTGGCGGTGGATGGTGTTGACAAGCTGCATTGCCTCTAGTCTAGCAACCCTCGTGTAGCTTTGTGCGAAATTCAAACCGAACTGAAACATCCGACATACAGGCTGTAAATACATTTCTTTCCATTTTTTCCAGTGTCAATTTACAGTAAAAAGAACAGTGAAATATGAAATTGAGAATTTTTTTTAGTTTTCTCATTAAGTTAATATATCCACTGTTTGACTACTGTGTATTATTAACCTATGATAAAAAATAAAGTTAAGGAGCCGTTACATTCAACAAATATGAATTTTGTTTAAGACGAAAAAAACCCCCAAGAGTTTGCACTTTTCTAAGTGATATAATTACATAGAGTTGTAAACTAATGATTTTGCTATTGCTAAGATTAATTAGACCGTCACATATAAAGACAACACTAGAACAAAAGACCCATATTAGAGATCACTGTAATAAAATGTTTCAAAACTGCGCTTCCCAGTATCAGCTTTGTGTGGCTGATAATCAAGCTTGCAGGCAGACTTTTAAGTACATATACCTTACCACCCTTGCAATTAGTTGATGCACTAAAGAACGCAGTACAGTAATGTGAGCGATTTAGTATAGAATGCATAACACGGCGGATCATAAATTAAGTGTTGCTTCTTTAGTATTCAACGTTAACAAGAAGAAGAAGTGAACTTGACAGAAATAAAATGAAGGATTTGAAGATAATTAATAAAAATAGTTTCTACACAAGACAGAAGATACATGAATATTCATGTTTTAACATCATACAATTAATGTTACCTGTTTCTCTTCTGCTGTTGTTAGTGCAAAGCTACACAATGGGCCATGGAACCCTTGATTCTAACGTTGTAAGTCCATAAACTTACCGCTGACCTACCGGGGACACGTTAACTTCGGAAAAATTACTTGTAATGGGGCTATATATCTATAGGGTCCATATATTCCATTAATGTAGAAAGTATTCCTATAATAACAACTTAAAATGTTGACCTGGCAGTAAAGAGCTTGTTGTTTAACTAAGAACTATTCTGTTCAAAGATACTATGAGAATGAGGAGCGCTCCCTCTTCATACCAAAGTATTATATCAAAGTAAAGACAAGAATGATTGCCAGTTATTTCCGTTTTTGTTTTTTTTTATATTTATCCAGTTCGATATGTATTTTTCATGCAAATACAAACAAATATATATCAAATAATTAATTAGACAAGGTGCAAACCATACACGGAGGCCTCAATTTTGAATC